AGCGGTGGCCTCGCAGGTCTCTCTCTCTCTCTCTCGCGCGCCTCCTCAACGCCGTCCCGTCGCTATCCCTTTGAAGGTGGCGAGGAAGAGGGAGAGAGAGAGGACTTCTCTATTGCCTCGTCCCCCGTTGCCTGCCGGTGGCGTGGGTGGGACCGGGATGGCCTGCGAGGGTTCCGCGTGGGAGTTAGTTAGGCGCGGGGATTTTATTACAGGGGAGGAGGAGGAGGTGGTGGTGGTGGAAAGAAGCAGAAGGAATTTGAACTTAAGACTTCTCGACTTAATCAAGGAGTCTGTGGTATTCCTGCAAACTCATTTCATGGGTCTGCAGGGGGAAGCATTAAATATATAAGGTCGGTGTGTGGGGTGTGTGGGGGGGGGGGGTACAAAAAAATGAAGTAACTCACTGATTGGAGCATCACTCCCACAACACGGAGAGCACATTTAATCCACTCTGCCTTTTGATCCAACCGTTTGCAATTTATTGGCTGGCTAATTTCTGAGGTTGTAACTTAGAGAGAGAGAGAGACGGGGGTGGGGGGTCACGGCGTGTCCGGAACATTTTAAGCGGAGTGGGGGGTGGTCGGTGTGGTGGGGGGGTAGGGGTGGATCACTCCCACCCCGAAGCACGAAAACAAAACACTATATCAATATCTCGGCTTGGTCAAGGGTGAAGAGAAGGGTTCTTGGCTTTTTCCGAGACTTTGGTTTCCAGAGTGAGTCACTGCGGGGAGTACACAATCGCCCGGCACTCTCCCACAATTTTTTTCAGGCGCGCGCACTCCGATGTTTAAAAACGTTAAGATTTCGACACTTGCAGCTGGATAACAAAGCCGCGGGTGGGCGGGCAGACTTGGCTGCCTGGCTCGCCAGGCTGATTCTCCCACCGTTAAATGAAAGTCCACCGCGCGCATTGGGTTCAAATTAATGCGCTCAGGTGAGAGGCGCGACGGGTTGGTGCCTTGCCTTCGACTTTTTAAAGTAAAAAAATTATTCAGCTGCCTTCGGCTTGTGTACGCTGCCGTCGAAACTTTCAAAACATTTCCTCCTCCGCGGTTTATCTGTTTCTTTTCTGTTCTTATCTCATTTCGGGAAGAATTGGGGATTTGTTTTCTTATATTTTAGTGGTTCATAGAAATACATTGTCGTATGCGTCATTATAAGAAGAATAATAACTAATGTTATTCTGTAGTTGCCCAGGGAAGCCTCGCTGAGTTTCAAGAGTTTTTTTTTGTAATTAGTGCTTGGAAATTTCCATTAACGGTGGCGAGATGTTAACTATCTTGCCTGGTATACAGGAGGTCGTGAGTTTGATCCCATCCCCTACGCCTGTATATTTGCAGGCGTAGGGGATGTTCTCGCTGTGGTCAAGTGGATTTTTCTCCGGGTCCTCCGGTTTTTCCCTCCACATTTAGAAACATGTGTTTAGAGTATTCGGCCACGATAAATGTCCACGTGATAAGCCACTTCGTTGGGATATCATTTGTGGCCAGGTCGCTTCTGAAAAAGAGCTGTATAGTTCAGTGCGCCTTATCTGGTAAAATAAAATAAAAAATAGTTTAATCGTTTAGTATTAGGAAACTACTGGAGCTATGCACTTTTAAATCGAGATTGAAAACTAATTTCTTTAGAACTGCTTTTTGCATTTAGTTTTTCATCCTTCCATGGCACCTCCGATTAGCACGGTTTGCTAAGTGCGGTGGTGGTTCGAAAGAAGTCCAATATGCATGCATAGATACAACCTGGAGAAAACCTGGAGATTCCCCGGAGAAAACCCACCACCGCGCTTACAAGGAAATAGGACTCGTCACCGCCATCTCCTGGCCACCTCGCACGATTCTCCAGAGCAATGTTCTTCACGAATTTTCAGAAGGCGGGGGGGGGGGGGGAGGGGCACTCTCGGCGATGAAACATCATCAGTGAGGGCCGCCACACACTTGAAACCATTGCAGGTTTTGACAGCAGCACCGTGTGGGGGTGTTTTCACAATTTGTGTAATTGTCGGGGCCTGCATGTCAGGGGGCCACTGGCGTCCCCGCGGGTCTTGCAATGAAGAACACTGATCTCGTGATCTCGTGATCTCGAGTGACAAAACAACAAGGACCGGCAAATGAGTTTGCTTGATTTTGCAAAAAAAAATTCATGGAGTGTGACGGCGCAGACTCCAAGACTGCGAGCGTCAAACACTGAACCGCAGACGCTCCGATCTTTGCCGCGAGCAAGTCCACAAACCTCACAGGTAGCGAGGTCACACGGTGAAATGCTGCTTCGGCACAGCTTTCGTTTGCCGTGACGTTTTATTTTTTTCGTTTCATCCCCCCCCCCGCCTCTCTTCATTGCAACTTTAATTCGTGGCTGGCAGGATGGAACCCCGCTTGGGTGTTTGTTTTTTACGTAGCAGGAAGTTTATATCGTTTAACACCACATGTGCTTAACCACACAGCGCCCCAGTCTTCTCGCCCGAGCTTTATTCCATTTACAGGAAGCTTTGGTGCCTCGTGCGTGTTTGTGTTTAGAGATTTTGGAGCGATTATCATCTCAGGTTCGGGGGCGACTGATTGATTTATTCAGTTCAGTGGAAAAGGCTTTTTGCGTTTCCAGTAACTAGTCGGGGGATTTCGAATGAAGGTGTGGTCACACATGACCCCAGGCACTTTTGACCAAATCTGCTAATGGTGAAGATTAAGCGCGTTATTGATCGCCCCCCGACGCGAGTGTGTGAAACGCCGCGAATAATGCCGGATCAAAGTCTCGCCGGCCGTGGTAGCGGCCACGGCGGCGGTGATAACAAGACATCCACACGCGTCGGCTTCGGGAGCCGCTGGGGACGCGGCGAGCAAGGCAGAGCCGCCCAGAGTTTGCCGAGAGCGCCGACCGCTCGCAACGCTTCTCACGGCAGGAGACGGCACTCAAAGCAAAAAGTGCGCGTGGTTGGTTGGGTGGTTGGTTGGGTGGTTGGTTGGTTGGTTGGGTGGTTGGTTGGTTGGGTGGTTGGTAGGGTGGTTGGTTGGGTGGTTGGTTGGGTGGTTGGTTAGGTGGTTGGTTGGGTGGTTGGGTGGTTGGTTGGTTGGTTGGGTGGTTGGTTGGGTGGTTGGTTGGGTGGTTGGTTGGGTGGTTGGTTGGGTGGTTGGTTGGGTGGTTGGTTGGTTGGTTGGGTGGTTGGTTGGGTGGTTGGTTGGTTGGGTGGTTGGTTGGGTGGTTGGTTGGGTGGTTGGTTGGGTGGTTGGTTAGGTGGTTGGTTAGGTGGTTGGTTGGGTGGTTGGGTGGTTGGTTGGTTGGGTGGTTGGTTGGGTGGTTGGTTGGGTGGTTGGTTGGGTGGTTGGTTGGGTGGTTGGTGGGGTGGTTGGTTGGGTGGTTGGTTGGGTGGTTGGTTGGGTGGTTGGTTGGTTGGTTGGGTGGTTGGTTGGTTGGTTGGGTGGTTGGTTGGGTGGTTGGTTGGGTGGTTGGTTGGTTGGGTGGTTGGTTGGTTGGGTGGTTGGTTGGGTGGTTGGTGGGGGGGGTGGGGAAGCGGTAGCGTAGTGGATCACGCGCTACGCTACAGACCCCGGAAACATCGAGTTCGCTTCCAACTCATGGCCAACGTCGGTGACGAATATCTGAACCGTTCCTGAGGCTCTCCTAGGTTTACTCGGCCACAGATGAGTACCTTGTGCGGTGTGTTCATATCAGCACTGGAGAGGTGGCCCGGCGTGGTGTTGGTCACTTGCACACTCGTGTGACGTGCTTGCTGACAGCACTTGCCCCAACAGTTTTTTGAGGCAATACGGGGGATCTTTGTCTTTGGGGGTAAGGGGGACGCTCCCCTGGGTGAGGTCTTTACCTCTGTAGCTTGCACTTCCGATTAGCACGGTTGGCTACGTACGGTGCAAAAAAAGTTCAACACACCATACGTAAAAACCTTGCCGGATGCAAGAAAATCGTTAACGCTCTCTTAATTACAACTTCGAAAGTGCTGCTTGTTGCTGGCAGCTTGGCAATGTTCGGCCTTTGGGCCTGAGCTCAGTCTATATATGTTTACATGTCTAATACAAATCTTCACATGCAACCAGCATGTTTATCTATGATTGTATATGTTAGTCTATGGGTCTCTATGTATGTCTATGCATTTCTACGTGAGACTCTGTGTTTCTTTGCAAGTCTATGATTTTATACGTGGGTCTATGGATCTCTATGCAAGTCTGTACACAGCACTAGGTACACACACCTGTGTACATGCCATATATGAGATGTTATTGGGTGCACAATGGTTCCGATTCAGGGTCTTCATTTGATCCAAAAATCTACTTCGTTTTTGCCGTTGTGGTGAATATGGAAATTCTCCAGTGGCTGAAAGTTTTATATACAGCCTATCGTCACCATCGCCAGCCATGACCTCGCCACTGCTGGATGAAGGCCTCCCTCACGGCTCACGTGAAGCAAAAATCCGCGTGGCTCTCGCAACACGAGATAATCTCATCGCTCAATCTCCTAGCCAGATGTCATCTGGGACATTTTCTCTTTATTTTTGGCTGCTTTTGGATGTCCAGCCCATGCACGCTTACATTTCATTTAAACACTCTACGCTGTTTTCCGTCCCGTCCACGTTGTTTCCTCTTCAAGTCTCTCGGTGTAATTCCCAACGCGCACCCCTCCCAACGTTTCTTTGCGAAGTTCCGAATTTGATCCATTCTCTTTTTGTCATCGTCCACGTGACCGATCCACGCACCGCAACAAATCTTCCGGGATCGATAACGTTTCTTCAGCACGTATGCATGCGGAACTTCTTTCACACCGTACTCAGCCAACCGCGCAAAACGGAGGTGCAAACGAGTGAGAGACTCGATTGCAGTGTCAGCATAACTGGCGTATGGTTCTGTGACGACGCCGCAAGGCTCACAGAGCCAGCCGGGGGCACACACCGCTGCCGATCCTTGCGTTTCGATCCTGACACCCCTCGTCGCCGTCCGTGTCTCCCTCTCCATCTCTCTCCGTGTCTCTCCGTGTCTCTCCCTGTCTCTCGCCAGGTTCCCGAGCGTTTCCTGGAGGTGGCGGAAATCACCCTGCGCGAGTTTTTCTCCGCGATCCAGGCAGGTAAGGACGTGGACCCGTCATGGAAGAAGGCCATCTACAAGGTGATCTGCAAGCTGGACGCCGAGGTGCCCGAGGCTTTCCGCTCCCCCAGCTGCCTTCACGAGCTTCTGGGCGACTGAGACAACATTCGCTTTTGTCGTCCGCGGAAAACATCTCCACCGCGACCACCGCCACCACCACCACCGCCGCCGCCACCGCCACCTCGTATTATCTCCTAACGCGACCACCAACAGCCCGGCAAGCGGAGCCTCTTTTTGATGACACGGAGGGGGAAGCTCTTCGTCGAAGCCGACGGAAGATCGGATGACGTTTGTGAAGGCCTCTGCAAGGTCGGCTTCGAGGGTGGGGGAGACTTTGGCCCCCACTGCGAGGCGGTTCCAGCACTACCGATGGACTTGACTCCCGTTTGCGGGGGTTCTTGATGAGAATAGATATAAATTAAGCATTTCTTCGGGTTTGTTGTTACTCTACCACGCCCCCGCCACCCACCCTCCCACCCCCTCTTGCTGGGTGCGACCGAACCATATTTTCCCTGAATACGAGTACTTAAATCGGAGAGAGAGAGAGTGGGAATTATAGTGATAATAATGAGTTAGCCGTCATCACGTGGATTAAATAAAATGTCCAAATTCTGCATCTTAATCCAACTGCTCAAGCATCATTAATCCTGCAGTCCCGCATTGCATCACGGGTCAGTTTTGAATTTGCGAATTTCCCTTTGATTCCCCCCCCCACCCCTCCCACCCCGGCCACTTCATTGTCGTTCATTCCTACGCTCTCGCGGTGTCAATTTCTGCATCGACAAAAAAAAAGGTCGACGTTTCAAACTACGATTGACGTCTGTCCACAGCAGTTTATATCTCTCTCGACATACATAAAGCAGCGGGGTTTTTTTTTTTACACATTTGGTACTCAATTATGAAAAACAAAAAAAAACCCAAAAACAAAAACAATGATAAGAAAACAAATATATTCCTACGTTCATTGCGAATGGGCCGTGCGCGTACACTCAGGCCGTGGCAAGGCCTGCGTGCAACATTCGCCGGTTTTACGCTTCAGAGAGGCTTTCTCCGTACGTCGTACGCACAACAGGGGAAGAGCCGTTGATTGGACGGAGGTCGTTTTTTTGTGCGTTCCTTTTAACCAACCGGTGAACCGAGGGACGATTCATGAATCGAACCAGCCGTGTTCTTTGCGTTCACCTCCCGAGGGTGAATGTGAGCGGCCGGGTTTTAGTTTGAGTCTCGAGTCAAGCCCACGACGCAACAAGCGCTCGCCGCCACCGTGCGTACGTCGCAGAGTCGGCGGGGACTTAGAAACCTGCGTCCGACAGGAATTTTATCCTTCTCATCGACGCCCCCTGACCCCCACACAACCACCGCTAATCTACGACGCGCTAAGCCCGTTAGCCACGTCCATGTCAATTGGCGTTCGCGAAGCTAGAGGTACAAATGAAGCCAAGGTTTTGACTGCATTACAAAAATGGTGCTTTATCCCAGGCGGCGTGCAGAGAGGGTTGGCCGGAACTTTGTGGAGTCGTACGACTTGATCCAGGAGCTCTGCGATGCTGGGCCAGGTCAACCCGTGCCTATCGCCGTGAGCCACCGCTAACAAGGCGGGTGGGGTGGGTGGGTGGGTGCGACGAGAGGAGGGGGATGGGGTTCTTCGGTGTCGCGTTTGGGGCTGGGGGTGTGGTGGCGGATGGGAGACGGGGCTGTCGTGGAGTGGGGAGTGGGGGGGTGGGGGACACGTGGGAGAGCGAGAGGCGGGCGCGGGAATCGATGTGAAATGAGTTCGGAGCGTTTCAAGTCACATCCACAATCCACTGCTTGTATGCCATGTCAGTCGTGGGGGGCTGTTTGACCATATTTCACCACAGTGGTCAGTGCGGGTTGGTAAATGGTGGGGCCCGGCACCAGTTCAGATATAATTCACCACTGATGGTGAGCAGCGGCCAGCAATCGAACTCGGGTTGTCGGGTTCAAGCGCCCCTTGCGCGATCCATCTCGTGTAAGTCCTCATTCCGAAATCGCTGCTGCAGTTTGGAATCGTTGTCGGGGTGAAAAATGCGCTCGACCGTTCACGCAACTCCCCCCCCCCCCCCCCATCGCACGCTCGAAGCGATGGGGAAGTGGGGGGGGGGGGTAAAGGGGGGCACTACGCGGTAACAGCTTGCACAGTCCGCTACACCGGGGGGCCGTAGTATCTATCGATGGCTGGACCGCTCGCCGGTGAATTTGGGCCGCAGCATCGTTTTTTGGTCGTGGAGAAGGCCGGGGCACTTCGGATCCTCCCCCGGCACCCCCCCCACGTGACCCCTCATTCTGTCGGTGCTTTGAAGTCCCTTTCCTGAAAACTTTCCCCAATTTTACAAGAAGACGGAGCGGTTTAACCCCCCCCCCCCCCCGCCCGCCCGCCCGCCCGCCACCTTTTCCCGAAGGTTAAGGTGAAAAGGTTAAATCGGTGGACAAAGAAAAAAGATAAATGAACCATTACTATAGCAATGCATTCCTTAACTGATTTAAAATGTTAGAGAGACTTGGATTTGTTTGATATAAAAAAAGGTTTATGGTTATTACCCGTTTTTGATCACTGGATTTCCATCCCTTCACAGTTTCATTAAGCATAGCGTTATCTGTATCATATTTAAGACATCATTGATTTGTTTGAATTAGGAGTATTAGGTATTTTAAGAGTTTTATGTATTCTGTGTTATAATAAGATAGTTGTATATATTTGCATTTATCGTGTTGTATTGTACTTCATTGTACGATTTAAAACAAATCTCGGTCAACATTTTCTTTTGAAGTATATTAAAATTAACTTTTGAAGTATCAATATTAAAAAAAAATTGTTTTGGGATGGCTTTAATAAGTGAAAATGTAGTTGCTTAGGACGAGAGAGGCAGACAAAGACTGGAAGTACATTGGTCGTGTGCATTTGAGGTTCGATAGATTGTACATTTGACAATATTTAAAGAAGAAGAAGAGAAAGACAAACTGCAATTTGTCACAATGAGACAAGATTACTCAAGTGTGGAAATGGCAAGCTCCGCTCACAGGGAACCACGTGGTAGGCTTTCGCGACCAATGCCATGGATAACAATTGACTTCATTTGATCGGATCGCGCAAGTAAAACGCGTCGTACACCCTCCTCCACCCGGCACAGCAAAGTATCTCTATAATATCGTAATCATAAAAAAATACTTGCATTCAAAATCACTATTTATTGGCTGTGTCGGGTGGTGGAGGGTGCACGACACGCTTGCGCAATGGGTTATCGGGCCGACAACACATTTTCTTTTTTGTACGCAAAATAATTTACGCAGCCAATGGAGTTCGTAAATAACGTTTCTCCATTCTTGCCTTTCGAGTGCGACAACATTGCGCCGTGCACGGAACAGACCGTGCAGCACTGGAGGGGGGGGGGGAGCAGTCAAACGCCGCAGAGATCACACAAACATCCCCCCGCACCCCCCCCTCTCTCACTTCTGCACCAGCAATCAGCGGCTGCCAACAATCACTGCTACCCAAATAAGTTCACCTGCGAGTCCAGTTAAATTATTGCTGTTGTTATGATTATTATTATTACGCATTAGCATTGCAGCAGCATCAGCTGTGACTTATCGGATGCTATCATTATTATTATCGGTGTGACCTAAGTTAATATTTTGGAGAGGCTGGGGAGGGAGGGGAACCCTGCATAATAAACCAGCAGGGAAACGAACAGCATTAGTAAGATTAGTGGCCTATGTTTACACACTGTTTTTTTTCCAAATACATAAATATATATGCGTGTGTCAGTTTAATGTCATTCAGTAATATGATGATGGTGATGGTGATGATAACAGTTGACAGCCCTTTATCACAATCCACTGCTAGATGAAGGCCGTCTCCACAACGTGACCAACCAATCAGCTTGTGCTACCATACTTCACCATGTTGGTCAAGTGCACGCTGGCGAAGAGGAGAGGCCCAGGGCCGATTCTGATTTTTACTCGCGGAGCACAGCGAGTCCGAGACCTCGAGTCACTTCAGCTCAATACTGCGGTGAGCTAACCATTGCGCCACCACTCCCGCTATAGCTATCCAAACAAACGTGAATTTCCCAACGATTGGAAGGCGTCCAAGCGTACGGCCACGTTGGGACTGCTTGTTGTTGTGTTTAGTTTATTGTCCTTCCCCCTGCACCTCCGATTGGCTACGTACGGTGCAAAAGAAGTTCATAATGCATGCATGCGTGAGTGCCAGGGGTATGAAGAAGGGAAATAGGTTCACGCGAAGGGGCTTGGAGGATTGCGACATCGCAGCGCCGTGAGAGGGTGGCAGCGGCATGGGGAGGACTTCATCCAGCAGTGGATTGACCATTGCAAAATTATGATGACACATTTGATGAGCATGAACCGCCTACTTACTGATGGCAGTGTAAAACATCCCCCACAGGAGGCATTCTTAGAATTAAGGGACAGCATTTTTCCCATCACCTTATCAATGACCGGATCATACAATGTAACAGAGTACCGTATTACAAAAATTCAACCAAGTCCAAATCACGGTATCCTGCTCCGTCAAGAATAAACAATACTAGTTGGCCTCCATCTATGATTTAAACTACTCATGGAATTCACCTTTTGTGGTGCTCATCTTTGTTGGTAGCATGCAGCCCAGTGCTGGAAATTCCACATTCCCATGGCAGGTGACAGTCTGCCCATATAAGGTCCATATAAGGGCCATAATTGACTTCGTCTAATTTGTAATTACACGTACGTGTGGACGTACAAATAAAAAAAGATTTACCCGTAAAAACAAAGTTTTTCACTATAAATTCTTTATATGCGTGGCGGCTAGAGTCCTCTCGTCCTCTGGCTTGAGATGGCTGCCACCTATGGGTCAGATGATTGCCTGCCACCATTAAGCAATTGGTAATTAAATATAATTTATTTTTTCCTAAAAAGTGTAAAATTTTGGAAATCAATTTTCACGAAAATAAATTGTCACGCACAACGAGTCTGTGTGCAAAATGTCAGCTCAATTGGATCACTGGAAGTGGGTTAAAAAACGACCGAAAGATTTGCACGGTCGTAAGCGCGCAAGCAAGCAAGCAAGTGAACTTAATATAAAGGATTTAAAAAGAAGGTCACGATGCAGCCCTGCAATTATTTGCTCAATGCCACTGCTGGTGGGAGGATCTGCACCAGTGGGAACTCCAGAGAGCTTCTCTATTGAGAAGATATTGGGCCTTAAAAATACTTTTTTTTTCAATGTATTTTTGTTACGCTTGGTTTTCCTTGCCCGAGTCAAAATCAGAACTTTAATTTCTCCTCTCCCCAAGCTCATTGAGCTATATAATAATAATTAATTTTCAAGGAACACTTCACAGATCCCTTCTCTCCACGATTAGCGTCACTTCCAAACCACTCGCATTGTGAAAAACCCTGCCGCCGCCGCTTCTGCCCCTTTGCCCAGCTGATCCGTGACGTAGAACCCCGGCACGTTGTAAGGGAAGATGCCCACGACGCCTGTCCACCACAAAGCCAACGCAAAAAACACGCGGTGCGGCCAGTTCGCACGGAGCGCCAAGCTTATGTTGCGGAAGAGCGATTGTCTTTGTTTGGCCACTATGTACATGTGCAGCACGTTTCTTGCCGATTCACAATTCTTTTGACCATACTTCACCATGGTGGTCGGTGCGGGCTAGCATCGGTGGGTGTGTTCTCGGAACAACAATGGATTTTGCTGCTTTGCCTTCCCATTGCCGAGAGACCCATGAATATACATTGCCCGCAATGTTTACCACACCTGGATGTCGCGCGGGGGGAGGCGGTGACCCCCTGCTTCTAAGCGTCCGAGATCCGACAACGCATCAGGTGCATGTTGGGAGATTTGGTCACAAGACGGCTCGGGGCTTTTAATCCGCCGACTTTCATTCCTGCGCGTGGTTTCTTTGCCGAGTCCGATGTCGAAACGAGGTATTGCGAGGTATTGCGAGGGATTCCAGGCAGCCGGTGGTCACCGGTGCCGGTGTGGCGTTTGGTGTGGGGGGCATTGTGTGACCGAGCCCCGCCCCCCGCCCGGTGGTGTCGGGGTGAGACTTCGCGATGGAAGGCCGCACGTGTTTACGGGAGTTTGGTAAAAGAGGAAAAATTCACGGAGGTGCCTCCCCCTCCTCCCCCCGGAGCCCGAGTACCGACCCTGATGAGCGAATGGATATGTTAGACAAATGAAGCGTACGACTTCGTGGGGGTTGAGTTTTCTTTCGGCGTTTCCAGGCCTCAGTCGCCAATAAGAAATGCGTCGTGTGAATTAGATTTTTTTTTACATATAATCAAGGATTGATTGCCCGATTGAACTTCTCTCTACTAAAAAAAAATAAGTAAAATAACCTCCAAGAGAGACGATACAGCGGTTGGGCTTGCTGTGATGTTGGACTTGTACAGCCAGCCCCTTGAGTCTATCCACTGCCGTCTAAGGGCATCCTCATGCTTCGTAGAGTCATAGCGGGGTCATTTGACCCACGTTTCACCCACGTGGGTCAGCACGGGTTGCAGAGGGAGCACAGGCATGGGGACATTGTAGAGGACAACAATGGACTTTTGCTGCACTGCCTTCTGTT